GCTATACCACCCAGATACAGGACAGATTCCTTAGGAAGGACAGAGGTGAGTCAGTTCCAATAGGGCTCTTCCAGAACATTCACTGATTGATCATTGCCTACCTACTAGATTGTAAGTCCTTTGAAGATAAAATGGTGCTTTTATGCTATAGTTTTACATTTAAACTTTTTTTTTCATGCTATAAAATCAACACATGCTCACATAAAAAAAATTAAAACACTATAAAGTGAAAGTTTCTTGTATTACAAACATTGCCCACCCTCCCATTCTACCCCTACCCTGCCCCAAGTGACCAAGATAAAGAGATTTATTCCTGTAGCAATTTGAGATATATTTGCTCAGATCATTCTTCCTACTAACATAGTAACATTTATCATTATTCGTTACAACATTTTCAAATGTTTTATGAAATTACTTTTTATATTGTTTTAAATTTGCTTTAAAATTCATTCAACAATTTTGTTCAACAATTTTTTTACCACAAAGGCCCCTATGGATCATGTATATATTAGATTGAGCCATAGGAAATGGCTGAAATTTAAATCATTTAAAAAAAAACCCTTTTTATTTTGAAATAATTTTAAACTCACACAAACTTGCAAAAATAGTAGAGAGGTGTGTACATTCCTCTGACTTGCCCCAATGGTACCATCTCATATTACTACAGTACATTGTCAAAACCAAGAAATTGACACAACTAGCTAGTCTACAATCCCTACTTGAATTTCACCCATTTTTATAGGTACTCATTCTTTAAAAAAACAAACAAACCATTTTGACTTTACAGAAACAACGTAGCTATTATATAGAGACTAGATGCCTGGTGCATGGATTGGTGCACATGTGGGGTCCCTCAGCCTGGCCTACGGGGATCGGGCCAAAACCAGCTCTCTGACAGCCCCCGAGGGTCCTGGATTGGGAGAGGGTGGTTCTTGGGTGATGCACCCCGGAATTGGGCGCGACACCTGAGAATTGCAGCTGCCAAGTCATGGCAGCTCGGCAGCCCCTGCGTTGTGTGTCTGCCCCCTGGTGGTCAGTGCACATCATAGCTACCAGTCGGACAGTCAAACGATAGGCCAGTTAGCTGGTCGCTTAGGCTTTTCTATATACAGATAGATGTAGATATACATCCTGTACATCTTTGCATGTAGTACTCTCAGACTAGGGAGGTAGTTTTGCTAACAGGACCACCCAAACCGTCTTTGACTGTGGGTTAATGGGTTCCTAACACCTATCTTCAAAGTTTCGCTTAGGTCACTGTGGTACTGCTTCAGAGAAATGACACCCACCCTTAGGGTTAGCTCGTGACTCAGGCATCTTAGACAGTTTCCAGTGATTAACACATGATACATGGGATATTTTACAGTTAAGATTTTTACATTTGAAAAGATTGCAAAATTGTGCAAAAGTAGTATTAAGAAAAAACATAATTGCCTATAACACTTCCACTTAAAGTCAGATGCATTTAGCCTGTTAGTATTTCTTTTTAGTTTTGAGTTTAATGCTCCTTGGCTTGAGGCCCCTTCTTTCATCTTCAAAGCCAGCAATGTAGCATCTGCAAATCTCTCTCTCTCTCTGACCTCTTCTTCCATCATCATGTATCTAACTTTGACATTTTTGCCTACCTCTTAGAAGGGTCTTGGTGATTATATTGGGCTCAGTAGCTGGTCCAGGATAAGTCTTTCCATCTCAGGATCTGTGGCTTAATCACATTGCAAAGTCTCTTTTGCCATGTAAGGAAGCATATTCACAAATTCTGATGATTAGGTCGTGGACACCTTTAGGTGTCATTATTCTGCCTACCACGGTCTCCCAACGGTTCAAGAGACAAGTGACTCATTCTTCTCTAGACCAGATTAGTAATGTATTCTGATTAGTAAAAACATTTATTGATAATTTGTTTACACACACCTCCATATTCATGTATATGTTTTGAAATATACTCCTTCCAAATAAATGTTGAAAGGATGGAATTTAAATACATGTAAATAGACACTCTCATTTTCCCCATACCCAGTGGATGGCCTTGCACCGTCATGGTAAGCACCAAGCCCTCTTTGGAGACCACTGTTCTGGATCATTCTTTTTCTAGATTCCATGCACATCATTGTACTGGAATTCCTGCTTGCATCCTTGCTGCATACCATGCTTTGTACTTGGTACAACTGTGCTTCAGCTCCTGTATAATGAGGTCCTCAAGAGCATAGGTGTTAATGTCAATCATGCAGGCTCAAGTCCCAGCTCCCCCACCTGCAACCTGTGTGACCTTGATCAAGTTGCTCAACCCTCTGAGACTCAGTGTTTTCATGAGCAGTATGAGATAGTGTCTACCCATAGGGTTGCTCCTGAGGATTATATGCTCATTGGCCTGTTAGTAATAATATGACATTAGATGGCATTCTTTTGAGTTTAATGTTAAGTCCTTCAATAGAGTTTAGTCTTCTTACCTGTGCTTGGCATCTACTTCCTGACTCTTTCTTAGGCTGGTTACCCCCAGTTGAAGGTCCCTCTCATCTTTTGTATGTCAATTCCCTTTCATTCCTATATGAGTTTCCCAGGGCTGCAGTAACAAAGTACCACAAACCAGGTGGCTTAAAACAAAAGGAACTTATTGTCTCATAGTTCTGGAGGCTAGAAGCCTGAAATCCAGGTGTCAGCAGGGCCCTGCTCTTTCTGAAAGCTCAAGAGGCTGATCTTCCCCTGCGTCTCCCAGCTTCTGCTGCCCCCTGGAACTCTTTGGTTTATGGCAGCATCACTCCAACCCCTGCCTCCATCCTCACATGGCCTTCTCTGTGTATCTCTCTGCCTCCTCTTCTCTTCTTATAAGGACACCAGCCATTGGATTCAGGGCCTATCCTAAATCTAGGAAGACTTCATCCAAAGATCCTCAACTAATTACAGCTGCAAAGACCCTATTTCTAAATAAGGTCACAACCTGAGAGATCCTAGAGACATGATCTGGGGCAGGGAGAACAATATTCAAACCACTACAATTCCCCTCTCACAGGATTGTTTTTCTTACAAGTTTTGGGAGGCTCCTGCCTTTTCCTGACGGTGTTTGTGTCAGAGTTCAGGGCCCTGAGAATGTGGGGCCAGGAGAGCACAGACGAAAACCAATGATCTTGTCTAACCCACATCCCTAAGCCTTTCGAGTCACTACTCTTCACAAGGAAGAAAAATCACTGATCTGAGTTTCTTGTTGCTAGTTTGTGTACAACACTGCGGCCCTTGTACTGCTTCCCACTGGGGCTTTTGGCATTTTTTGAAGGAAAAAAGAAAAGAAAAGAAATAGTGCTGTTTGGTTATCATTCCACAGTGTGTGTGTTTGCAAGATGCCTCCCTCATTAGATGACTCCAATTTAAAATACAGATTTGCTCTGACAAAACTGACCCAGGCTGGCTTTTCTCTGTAATGGTTTCAATTTCAGGCTTATCCATCACAAATGATTGTAGTCTAACAGCATTCTGACAGAAAAGGGGTAGGAGTTTTGAATTCTTACCTGCAATTTCCAGCTCCAGGGGATAATAGCAGAGAGTAAAACAACAATAACCGAGTTGTAGAATATAAAACACGCCGACTTCTCCCCCAGAGTTCTGTGCTTCTAGATGTTCGGCAAGTCACTCTCCCTGTCCATAAGCTCCCCTGTAGCAAATTATGAGCCTTATGAAACCGATCACATTTCTCCTTTTGCCTTGCATGCGAGGAAGCTTGGGGGAAAGGACGCTCAGTTTGAGTAATTATTAGCCTAGGCATTTATTCCATTTAGGTCTGTCTTGTGTGGCATTACATTCTGTTCCTATCAGAAGATTGTACTGCACGATGATTTTGCATCTTTTCTGGACATTTTCTCCTGCCCTGCCTTCTATGACACTGCTTTTTTGCCTATTTCTTCTGCCTCCTCCTTCACTTCCTCTGCCCACCTGTTAAAGCACTGGGTTTCCCAGGACACCTCTTCTTCTCTCTCTGGACATGCAGCCCTTGGATTTCTTATGCACTCTGAGGATTTCAATAGCTCCCCAGATACTGATGACTCTCAGATCAGTATCTGCCGCTCAACCTTGATTCAGATTCAAATCCACTTATTGAGCACCAAGTATGGGTCAGGAAGTGTTGGGGTTCCCTTGTTGAGCAGGCAGAGGGGGACCCTGTCCAAATGGAGCTTAATTCTAATAGCTCTCACTGAACTACGATGTTGGCCTTTGTGCCTCTCCCTCTGCCCACCCTCTCCAGCCACCTGTCCATACTCCATCATTCTTACCCTTGGACGTTTAGCTTAAATAACCTTCTCTAATGTACTGTAAGTTTTGTGAGAGTAGGGCCATGTCATACTCATCTCAGCGCTCTTAGTGCCTGGAACAGTTCTTAGTGCTTAGCACTTAGTAGGATTCTCAGTATTTTTTCCTTGTTGAACTCAAAGATCAGTTCTATATAAATGACTCCACATCTCAGCTAAAACTTCACATCCTCAAGGACACCTTTCTCAACCCTCCAAACAGGTCAGCCATCCTCATGGTATGGACCTATGATATCTTATACTAATTCTTCCCAGAATTTTGCATAATTATAACTGTTTTTCAATTGTTCACATTATTTGTTTAAATTTGGTCTTCTGCACTAAGTTGTAAATTCATTGACAAGGTCAATGGTACAGCTACCATAAGTATTTGGCCTATAATAAATAGTCAATAAATATATGTTAACTGATAGAGTGACAAATTTTCTTCTGGATAAAAATCTTCCCATTGTTGGGGCCTACAGAAAACTTACTAGTAGACCTGATAGCCTGCTGGTCTAATGCCTCACTCTACCTATCTATAAAATGGGGATGTTCCTGTGGGGTAATGTTGGGTAGCAGATGAGCTTTAGATAAAACCATAGCAAATGTTCATAAATAAATTGTATCGAAAAAGATGATATTAAAAGATTAAACACATCAACTGAAATTCCAGCTTAGCTTTGAAATGCCTATTTCAAAATGTGATATTTCATTCTACCACAGGGAAAATAGACAGATCCTCTCCTTTTTCCTTCCCAGCCCCTGAGACAACAAGTCTTGTGGAAAATGAAGTTGAACCAGAACAGGTAAGCATTTTTGTGAAATATTTGAAGTATGTGACTTAGATTTTTAAAATCTACATCAAGGGTTTGCAGGAATGGATTAGGGAGAGAAACTACACCAAAGCTGCAAAATGCATCACGAATATTCTGAAATAGCTAAGGAATTTGTAGACTTGTACTCTCAGCAGAAATAACATAAATATTATGACTTCTATATGCACAGATGCTTTGAAAAGCCAAAAATAAAAAATAAAAATACATGGGAAATCATTGTGTGTTCCTTCCAATTGGCCCGGGATTAGTGACACCCTGTCGAATTGTCACCTGCCACCATTTTTCCCAAATGAAAAAATATAAGTGAGGAAAGTGGCAATGCTTTACATTCACAAATCTCAGTATGTGGCTCAACAGAAGACAGAGAGATTCTCATATCTGCTTAGATTCTCATTTCTCCATACCATCAGACCCCTTGCAACCTCTGGGAATCTCCACTGTACAGCTCAGGAGAGAAGGATAGTCAAAATGGCCAGTAATGTCTCATGAACATCATTTTCATCTCATGGGTTCCCTGGCTACACTTTGAAAACCACTGCGGTAGGAAATGTGACATTGGGCTCCATTTTCCTCTTTGATCTTGTTGCCTCTAGAAGTTTGAGTTAGCCATGAGAAGGACTGTGCAGGGCTAGGGAGAGCTCGAAGGACTCAGGCAGTGCCCAGCCTAGTGATTTGACAGTGAACACAGCACACAGCACCATTATTTTTTTTTTACCTTCAGACCCCTAAGCCCCACAGCCTGTATCTGGTCAATGTTTTGGGTTTCCAGAAAGTAAAGAAAAAATTTTAAAATGTTTTTATTAATTTCAGAGAGAGGAAGGGAAAGGGAGAGATAGAAATATATATTGGCTGCCTCCTGGATGTCCCCTACTGGGGATCAAACCCACAACCACATCCCAGACATGTTCCTTGACCATGTATCAAACTGGTGACCTCCTGATGCATGGGTCAATGTCCAACCACTGAGCATACCAGCCGGGCTAAAAAATAGTTTTCTTTTATTTGCAAGGTTGGCTTTGTTTTGATCATGAGACACATGGGGCAAAAGGTGGTGAGATGCAGTGAAGCTCCGACCATTGGAGGGTGTGGTTGGGACGGGAAACTCATGTGAGTGCAAACCTTCAGAAACAAGTGGCCCCATCATCTTCCCTGTGTCCCACCAGTTGAACGAGGTGGACAGCTCCTTCCTTGCGAAGATCATTGCTCCCTCCCTGGGATTTGTGCTGGTTGCATTGATTGTAGCACTTCTACTTCGAGGTAAGGATGGATGAAGCCCTTTAGAGCTATGGAGACTCCAGGGAGACCTGGGAGCAGATTGATGCTGCTTCCTGCTCCTTTTCTCCATTTCCCAGAGCTCCTTTCTGACATTGTCTCCATCCTGGTCAAGGAGGTGACAGGTAAAGCCATTCTCCCAAGGATGCTAAAGCTTTGTGTATCATCTTCCTGATAGAGTTCTGTTTTGGGGGAAAAAAGAGAGCACCTTCACTTATTGGACACTTACTCTGTGTCAGTCCTGACTAGACTCTTTTTCTCTCTTTTTCTTTGTTTTGTTTTTGTTTTTGTTAATCCTCACCCGAGGATATTTTTCCATTGATTTTTAGGGAGAGCGGAAGAGAGAGGGAAAGACAGAGAGAAACATCGATGTGAGAGCAACACATCAATCGGTTGCCTCCCTGCACAAGCCCAACCAGGGCCCGGGCCTGGGAGGAGTCTGCAGCCCTAGACTCTTGACGTGCCTAACGCATCCCGCGCTCATGAGTGCCTTAAGTGGAAACTGCTCTTATTATCAGTGTCTTGGGTGGAGGAAGCCCTGGCCTAGCCTCCCCCTCTGGCTAGGATTGTCCCAGGAAGAAAGCCACGAATGATCCCTGGTCTTTTTATTTGTTCATTTTAAGCAAGCTTTCTTAACCTGGGGTCCACAGATAGAACTTAGGGGCAAGTGAGTCCCTTGAAATCATGTACAAAAGTGCTTGGACATTCTTATTTGCATTTTTCAAGGGGCAGCATCCATAGCTGTTATTTAAATTCTCCAGCTGGTCCATGACCTTGCCCCCACCTCCCACTTCAAAAAGAAGTTTTAAGACACTACAGAAAGGAGTCATGAAACAGGGTTTATAGTTTTCATCCAAAGGATAGGCATGTGGCCCCTTGTCCTGCTATAAAATGGGGGTGGGGGGGGGAGGAATTGTTCTCTAGTCATTAACAGGAACTGTTTCAAGTTAGCAAGTGAGGAGATAAGACTAGTATTCATCTCAGCCTGTTTGAGCAACACAAGGGAAACGTGTGTATTTTGAAACCTGCCCCTTAGTGAACACTGGCAAAGGAAATTTACAAAGGCATGTGGCAGTTTTGGATATCCTGGGTAAGTCTCATAAGGAAGAGTTGTAGATTTTGTGTGTGTAAGTAAACGCCTTTTTAAAATCCAAATGAGTACTTGATTGCGGGTGGGCAAATGACTCAGGTATGAAGCAGCTTTAACACCATTGTCCACAACTTTGTAGTTGATGGGCACTGCCTAGGGGCCTAAGGAAGCAGTCATTTGACCCTGGAAAAGAATTGGCTTTCCAGTCCTCAAATTGTCACCTTTAGACTACATCTGCTTTTCCTAAGATAGTAGTGGGCTTCCCCCAGCATTTCAAAGGTCCTAGCACAGCACTCTGCTTATACTGTGGCCTTGTCTTTCCAGGGAAAGTCATGAAAACCAATTGCTTCCAGAAACACACAAGGTAATTCATCTTGCATGACTGATCATTGTAATGATAGAACAAGGTGTTACAAATGATTAGATCCTACTCAGTGGTTTAATGACTTGTGCTTGTGTTCTGATTAAATACAGAGTTGGAGAGATGTGACATTAGAGGTGAAAAGGAGGTGGGAATTTAGCTCACATTTACCTCTGCCTTGGTTAACACTGTTACATTGTTCAACATGCAACTGCAAAGGCAGGTTGCATTAATAGAAGTATGCCATGCAAAAGAAAGAAGGTGATATATCACTCTACTCTGTGCTAGAAGTTCTTTGTTCAACTCTGGCAACTCACTTTAAAAAAAGGACATTGTTAAACTGGAGTTCATGGAGAGGAGAGTGGCAGTATGAAAAATGAAAAAAACACATCGAATATCATTCCTGGGATATGGCTTCTTCTGCCCAATTACACCATGGGACCCAGGGGAGCAAGTTTTTTTTTGTGTGTGTGTGTTTAATAGTTTGAAGAATCTCTAAAAAGGTATTTTGGATATTTATCCTGTTTTATAACTTTCTGGAAAAGGACTTAAAAGATTTGGTGTTAACTGTGATGAAAACCTTGTCTTCACTTAATAATTGCCTTAATACCACAATATCTGTTAACAAATAAATACTAAGAAGTAGGGAAACTGAGGCTCAGCAAGGTGACTTTCTAAGGTCACAGTTGTAGATTTTGTGTGTGTAAGTAAATGCCGTTAGGTTGTGATTTATATTTTCTAATATAGAAACTTCTAACTTCCCTATTAAAATAGGTCGACAAAAACCCTTTATCCCATAGGGCAGTGATGGCGAACCTATGACACGCAGTGTCAGAGGTGACACGCGAACTCATTTTTTTGGTTGATTTTTCTTTGTTAAATGGCATTTAAATATATAAAATAAATATCAAAAATATAAGTCTTTGTTTTACTATGGTTGCAAATATCAAAACATTTCTATATGTGACACGGCACCAGAGTTAAGTTAGGGTTTTTCAAAATGCTGACACGCCGAGCTCAAAACGTTCGCCATCACTGCCATAGGGCCTCAGTTTGGCCATCTGTGACATGAAAGAGTTGGACTGGATGGGCTCTGAGCCCTTTTAACTCTGAGAGCCTTGGTTAGTTGTGTGTAATTTATCCATTTATTCCTGGTCGTGGTGGTTCGCATTAACAGCCTCTTTCCTCTCTGTAGGCTACACAACGTTGGAGAAAGCAAAAACGTCCTGGATGACCCACAGCATGGAAGAGAAGACGAAGACGGCCTTTTCACACTATAACGTGCCACTTTTTTTTAGAATGGAGGACAGGGGCAGGATGTGGGAATTGTCACAATAAGTCTTAGAATGTTTGTTTGTTTGTTTGTTTGCTTTTAAAGCCCCATCTATTCCGTTGGTGTCATTGAGCCAGTCTTGCTTTAGTTTCACAAGTGGAAGGTCCTTGAGAGACCACACCTTCTCTGCCCAGCGCTTTAGCTCCTTCCCAGCATCACTGCCAAGTGATCTTGCACGCTATACTTGAACATTTTCAGTGATGATGAGCTCACTGCCACACCCAGGGGAGCCCATGCAATCGCAGGGCAGTTCTGAGACTTAGAAATATGTAAAGCGAAGTCTCTCTCCAGACAGCATCCGCCTGTCAGTCCTCATGGAACTCATGGTGCTCACACAGAACATGTCTAATCTCTCCTTTACCTGGTAGTGCTCCAGGTACACCAGACCCTATTCCCTGGAAATGACCTTGTTTCTGGGACATGATTTCTGGCCCCTCCCCTTCCCGTAGTTGCCTTCGCTGTGGGTGCATTTGTATCTCTCCTTCTGTGCCCAACCGTCAGAGTTGCGTGCCCCACTCCAGGGATGGTGTGAGCAGCCCTGAGTCTATGCTTCATCAGTAATGCAGGAACTGACGTCATCTCCAAAACTCCTTGGTTTTCTATTATTTTCTGTTTACATTTGAGTGTCGTTAGGGGTGACCATGGTGTCACATCTTAATTCTTGCTTGAATTTAACTTGGGGAACAATCAAGAGTCCATCAGAGCAAAATGCAGTGAGTGACGTGGCCATTCAACGAGGGCCAACGCGTGATCTGACTGTAAGGCTACCCAGATTAAACAGTTTGTGGAAATGTGCTGCTCAGTAGGAACAGATTTATTTTAAAACTTCCATTACTGCGGCATGAAGGACCCAGGGAGAGAGATGAAAGCAAACGGCTGTTGAATGAATGAATGAATGAATGAATGAATGAAAAGAATGTGTATCTGAATGAGGGAGGCCTCTGGTGGGGCAGAAATATGGGAAGTCACCAGACCTGGAAGGAATTTCCCTGACATACTTCCTGCTATGTTTAGGGCAATCGCAGCAATAATGCAATAAGCACACAGTCTTCCAAGGAAGCCACCTTTCCAGTGTCTACTCTTTTGACATTACTTTTAAGAGAGGAAAAAAAAATCAGTCCTTTTTCAGTGGTACAGCCTGTAGATTCCTCGCACGGGTCCAGCAGCCTCCGTGGGCCAGGCATATCGTTCTTGCTTTCAGAGCTGAGAAAACAGAAGCAGAGATAGATGAAGGCACTTGCCTGAGGTCACCTAAGTCCAGCCCCCAGGGACAGAACTGAGCCTTGGCAGGCAGGAAGGACCCCACACGGAGGGCTCGGGCTCGAAGGAAAGACTTAATGCCTGCAGAGGGCGGCATTGACCTGCTTGGTCCCAAATTGATGTTCCTTTACTCAGATCCTGGGCAGCCTGAGCGTTTTGACGGTTCTCCAATTCCCTACCCCTTTATAGTTCAATCTTCCCTGGCCAGCAAATTATTTACTCAGAATCTTATTTGCATTTGCAGAGGAAGCAGCAAGTGGAGAACCTGGCAGGAGCCTTAATGAAGCCAGGTGGGACACATTGAAACAGGAACGTGTTGAACTAACTCACCGAGAGCTGAGGCCAGCTGTCAGCGGGCTTAATGAAAGGTTAACAGGAACATGGCAATGAGTGGCTAGGGAGGCTCTCTGTCTCTCTACAGAAAACAAAAAGTTGAGAAGTGGGCTCCCCAGGTGGAGGCAAGAGCAGAAGGAGGAAGCCACTGAATCTGAAATAGAGTTTCATTTAGACTTGTGAACAAGTTATAGTCGAAAGAAAGAAAGAAAGAAGAAAGAAAGAAAGAAAGAAAGAAAGAAAGAAAGAAAGAAAGAAAGAACGAGCACTGTGGGTTCTCAGCTCTCTGAGATTCAAAGGACCAGGAGGGGGCCTGTTCTGGAATGAGATGAATGCTAATGCTGTTAGGAAGGCGCTTGGGGAGACTGGAGCCGGCTGCTCACACAACAAGGTGGTTTCACTTTCTGTGCTGAAAAGGTGGTGTTTTGCCATCCTGGGCTTTATCCGTGTTGCATATGGAGTGGGGGGACCGGGGAGCAGGAAAGACATCTTTCATTTTGTTTAGCTGGTGAAACTGAGGGCCAAACAGGGGGAATGAGTTACCCTCAGTGACAAGGAAACAGTGCCAGAGCAGAGGGCTTGTCCAGGTACCCTAGGGCAGCCGTGGGCAAACTACAGCCTGCGGGCTGGATCCGGCCCGTTTGAAATGAATAAAACTAAAAAAAAAAAAAAAAAAAAAAAAAAGACCGTACCCTTTTATGTAATAATGTTTACTTTGAATTTATATTAGTTCACACAAACACTCCATCCATGCTTTTGTTCCGGCCCTCCGGTCCAGTTTAAGAACCCATTGTGGCCCTCGAGTCAAAAAGTTTGCCCACCCCTGCTAGGGTCTAGGCTTAGCTCTGCAGCCGGGTGATAGGCTTGTTCTTGGATTTTCCTACGTCCACCTGGCTATGCCCGATTATTTGCCCTTCCAAGGTCCTATCCAGTAGGTTCCTGTTGGTACATGCAACTCAGCATTTCTTTTTCTTGAACCATCTTTGCCAGCACATACTTGACCCCATGGTGGACTGCCACTCCCAGAAAGAGGAATTAGAATGAGGAAGTTCAAAGCTTGGCTCTTCTGTTGCTTTTTAAAAAACACCACCCTAATTAGGGTGACCACTTGTCCTAGTTTGAAACCTCAAAGTTCCTCTTACATGCTGGGAACTCCCTCAGTCCTGGGCCAGCTGGGATGATTGGTCAATGTAAGTCCACGACTAAACCAGATCAAAAGCAGCAACCTTCAGGTTCTTTGATTCACAGCCCCTGCTCTGAACTCTATCGCAATGATCATTGTGTATATGTGCGTGGCTTTGAGTTGGACTCAAGTAGAGTTTAATTCATACAGATCCACCATTAGAATAGATTGCTACATCTAGATTCTAGATCTTGGCTATTCAAAATGTGGGCTCAGACCATCAGTATTATCATCAAGGAGGAACTTGTTAGAAAATCACATCAGTCCCTACCCTAGACCCTCAGAATCTGCATTTCAACAAGGTCTCTCTGTGATTCACATGCACATTACAGATTGGGAAGTAAAGCACTGATTTTCAAACTTGGCTGCACATTGGAGTCATGTGGGCAACTTGAAAACTACTCATACTTAATTCCCCTCTGAGGTCCTGATTTATTTGGCATGGGGGAGACCTGGGTATCAGGCATTTCTTTTCTTTTTTTAAAATATATTTTATTGATTTTTTACAGAGAGGAAGGGAGAGGGATAGAGAGTTAGAAACATCAATGAGAGAGAAACACTGATTACAGACTGGGAAGTAAAGCACTGATTTTCAAACGTGGCTGCACATTGGAGTCATGTGGGCAACTTGAAAACTACTCATGCTTAATTCCCCTCTGAGGTCCTGATTTAGTTGGCATGGGGGAGACCTGGGTATCAGGCATTTTTTTTTATAGCACCTCAGGAAGTTCTAATATGCTGCAATGTTTGTAAACCACTTCTTAAGGGAGGGTAGTTTTGTGCCAGAAAGTAATGTTACTATTAATCAGGATAACTCTTGGCCTAAGATACAAGTTTATGTGTGGGTCTAGTACCCCTGCATGATTTTGCTCAAAGAAATGATCAATAAAATTGCTCAAGAAGATCTGAGGACACTAGATAATGACCTAAATGTCCCCATTCCTATGGATGAGGCCCATTAAAGCAATTAAGACCAAGATATAATGCAGGCATACCTTGTTTTATTGCCCTTCACTTTATTGCACCTCACTGATGTGTTTTTTACAAGTTGAAGGCAAGACCCTCCACCAGCAAAAAGATTGGGACTCGATTTATTGCAACACTCACTTTATAGCAGTGGTCAGGAACCGAACCAGCAATATCTCCAAGGTATGCCTGCATTTGGTCTGTAGAAAGTGATAATGAGAAAATAGAACAGATAAACAGATAAGGAACGTCTGGGGGTCAAGGTGGCACTGTTCGTCTGTTCAGAAACTTCAAAGGGGTAATGAGATGACATTGAGATTTTAAGAGAAGCACAGAGGGTTTCCATGTTAAAGTAGAAATATGATAAGTGATATTTAAAGTGGAAATATGAAAATGATAAAGTGGACAGCTTTTTTTGCAGAACAAGGAACTTGGTAATAAGGCAAGTACCTGTTCTCTTGTACCCAAATATAATGAAAGACCCTCCTCTGGGCACAATCATTCATTGTCTCAGTAAGATTGTATTCAGCTGCAAGTTAAAAGAATGCTAAAAAGTAGGGGTTAATTAGAGAATTATTTCTCATAATTAGACACCTGGACTTAGGCAGTTTCACAGTTGGCCAACAGCTTCACTAAGGTAGATATGACAGTCTCTGACTTTCTTGGGCCTTCCTCATGGTTGCAAGATGGCTGCCACAGCTCTACTATGCCCTCTGCACAAGCATCCCACATAGGAAGGAAGTGGGCTTAGGTCAGCAGTATTTTCCCCTTTTATGACTCTAACACCATATCAAAATGGAAGATCATTCATGGAAGTTACTAGAAGAGTTACCATTATATTTCATTGGCCATAGATTTCACTGGGTCACATGCCCACCCTTGGGCAAAGGGAAGTGAGATTTCTAGGACTAATTTCTAGGACCGATTGTTACTCAACACCCAGGCTGTGTACATTGCAATTAAGCCAAAATTTAGCATCCGTCAGCCTGGGAGGAACTGGGAGTGGATGTTGGGTAGACAACATTGATTTCTGCCACATTCACTCGTCCCACAAAAGCTTATTGTCTGCCACATTCCTGAGAGCCCTGCTGGGTGCTGAGGTGTAGCCACAAACAAGACAGATCCAGTCCCGGTTCCCAGGCAGCTCACAGACTACAAAGCCATTTCCCTCTTTATTATGCCTTTCATGATTCCAAATATTTGTACCTGAGAAGCAAAAAGAATGAAGGGATGAAAAGGATCAATGTTTAGAAATTCTGCACACACACCTCCTTGAAGCTGGGAAACCATCCCTTTGATGCGCGTCGGGAGTCAATGGAAGAATGAGACAGGAACATTTGGCCCTGGGAGGCGAAGGCAAATGATAACAAACACTCTCAGCTGCCATGAAGCTTTCAAAGGGTGGCAAAGGCGGTCAGCTTGGTGAAAGTTCAATGTTAGAGGAGTGGGAGCAGCCACTTCTACATTTCTATGCCGTTTCATACTTTTCTAAGCAGTTTCAAACATGTAGTACTCTGTG